AGTTTTTAGCCATTCTGCTCTCATATGAAAGCACATAAGACCCAGGGAGTTGATCTTGGCAGGGATCACACAATCTCACCATTGTGGGGGCCAAACAATCTCCTTTTAAAAAAGATACTGTGGGAGGCACTTTTAATGCTAATGAGCTGGCCAGAACTAATTCTCACTTGAATTAGTGGTCTCCACCTTGTACATCTATTGAAAGAACCACGTCTTCCCTTGGTGACTTCACAGTAACAGCGCCCTCGGTTGCTCAGGGAAGCATGCATGGATAATTTTAATTGTTTTAAGCAAGCACTTTTCAATACATTTAACCAAATAGGAAAGTAAAAAGGGTATTCACGCAATGAAGAAGAATATAAAATTTAAGAAAGATTGTGCCTAAGAACAGTTCATTGCAATTACATTTTAACTCATTTATACACCACTGCAGATCACAAATTAAATTGGATCACTGCTGTAACTTGAAAAGGTGACGACTTGAAAAAACATTTTAAATTATGTAAAAGTATGCGTAGGCCCGTATATCCCCGACGGATCACTGAAGCTTAAGTTCGTGCAAAATGTAATGGTGCTTGTCACTGTGATTGCCAAGTTTTTGCCGGCATTTGTTTATTTTACATAAATCAAAGTCATGTAGAAGAGAAAAGGGGAAAGGGTCATAGTCAGTTCTCTGTTTACGTGACCTTTGCCCAAGCACGCAGTCGGTACTTGTACCCGGTCCTATGAGTTCAATTTCGCAAAAATGTACGATTTACACATGGAGATAAGCATTATAGTAGGCAATGATTAAAACTAAAAATTTGTTTGTTTATAACTGGCATCGTCCTACATGAACTTGAAGACATTTTTGGACCATCCCGCATATCCCTTTATTAACTCAAGCCCCACTTAAAACATTGTAACATATAAGTTCAGCGCTTAATATGCAAGCTGACATTACTGGAGTTTCTCAAACAACCTTTCCGAACTTTTAAAGGTTTGGTGGGTTAATTGATAACATTTTTAATTTTTCGCGTAAAAAAAACCGACCCCTCAATTATAGTTAATTCCACGGTGCTTGCTCGCAGCCATGGCTTCCACCATGGTACTGTGACAGGACCGACTACCATTCGTAATTGTATTGACTGTGCCCTCAATGGAATTGTCTTATCTTTTAAAGTCATTGTGTTTTTATTTTTTTCGTTTCGTTTCACTGCATTATTTATTCATACTTTTTTTCAGATAATACAAATTACAGTATACATTGAATCTGAACAAAACAACAACAACTGGTACATGTAACTTGACACCCCTGGCGGATTCAAAGCCCATCAACTCGGGGAGTTGATCCTGGCCCATATATTTCTACAATCCCTCCATTTATTCGGGCCAACAATTTCCTGTTTAAAAGAAAAACTGTGGCGAAGTTACTCTTTTATACCAACGAGCTCAGCAGAAATTTTCACTTGAATTACATGATGTAGTGCGCCCTTAACTTGGTTCAACTTAGCTTCGACTGACCTTGCACTTCTGACGCTGCGCCACAAGAGATGTTTACCGCTCTGGAACAGAATTTATGACAGAATTGTGCAGGGGGAATGCAAGGTGTGTGAGAGCGGTGCATTAATGGTGTCGATCAAGGGTAAGGCATGGTTAGGGGTCAACTTAATCTAAGGTCAAGTTGAACGCTGCTGGGCATTCGTAAACGGCTGTGCAAGTCGTTGTTCAGTAACTAGAGACAACATACCAACGCAGTAATGCAGCGTTGTAGCAATGGGAAATATTTGGCAGTCATTCTTACTTCTGGACAATGTTCTTTGCATTTACTTGTCTGCAAATGAAGAGCACAGGAAATGTGTACCAGATTACATATCAAATCTTAGATTTAACAGTCTGTTTGTAAATGGAACGAGATAAAAAAGCGCCACAGGAACTCTTGCCGTCAGTAAAACAATACGCACATGTGCCGGCAGCGGATACTTTCCACACATCTGCTCGAGTGAGCAATGACTTGTGTTGACCCGTACCCTCTCAATATTTGTCAAGGACTGTGGTTGAAAGCTGATCGTTATTGTGGGCGTTGCTGTTTGCCAGTTGCCCATTGGACGCAGATTACACAACAACCATTATACACTTGGAGACTTTCTCACCCTGTGGATGTCACACTCGGCCTTTCGTTCGTGACACCCGCGACCAGGATCTACATTCACATGTACCTGTACGATGCGAGACACGTCATGCACGTACATGTACACACACAGTTAAGGGCGCGCGCATGCACGTAGGTACCGTACATTGTACAGTACATATACATGTATAAAGCTAGTGGATGAGCAAAGTGCGGGCAGTTTTCCGCAAATAACGGATCGCTTAACCTCTGCGCCTTCAGTTCTGAAGGAAATTAAGTGACACCAGTGTCAGTGAATTTGCTTCTCAATCGAATTTTGCAGACCTGTCCAAGGAAACAAAGAATTGGAAGCTGAAATATGGCGTTACAACTGAATGCGGTAGACATCGTTGTTATATGCGTGTATTTTCTGTTTGTCCTTCTGATTGGACTATGGGTGAGTTTGAAGTTCTTCCATATTTTATGCGGTATAAATATAATGTCTTGCAAAATGATTTGTACACGACCATCTACAGTATGTCATGTATGTACAGCTGATGTCAAAGAAACCGAAAACGTAAGAGGCCCCAGGAAAAAAAAACTTACTCGATATATTCTTCCTAGATCCTCCATGATACATATCGAAGAAGAAACAATTTAGACTTGGAGCAATGTGATATCAATGTCTGTATGGAGATAACAGATTTACTAGTGTTAATGCTATACATTTGGTGAACGAGTAGGCCTACATGTATCAATTAGAGTGGGTGGTCGGAGCAAAACTGAGAATGCAGTACTAACATTAAAAACCCGTGCTATAAATAATGTGTACTATTCTTTTTTACACGAACGCAAAAAGAGAAAGGGTTCAAAATCTAGGCGTTGTTTGAAAGTACTGATGTCTCATGAAAATATTGAGCTTGGAAAAAATCTTATGATAAACATGCGAAGGTTTCTTTTTTTATGTTATATTTTATGGTACTTCCGATTCTAGTTTTAAAAGTGCCACACTAATGCCATAAAATAAGTATTTCTACGAAAATCTAAACGTTTTTTTGTGAGGTGAACGCCACGGTCAAATTGAAGCAATGTCTTCACAGTATTGTAACTAGCAAGTACTGTATCTACTGGCGCGACAGGACCGTTGGTTATTTCAAGTTTGTCCTCCACCAGTCTACGGTCTGGTGACGAAACCTCTGGCATGAGATCCAGGCTCATGCCGGAGGTATCTTCAATTGGTTTTTTAAATATCCATAGTGGTAATTTTTGGTGATTCGTTGAAGGTTTTCATTGTAAACATTTTGGATAATTAAGGAGATCAGTTTAGTGCGTGATGTCACCGTAGGCCTACTGTATTATAGGAGATTATCACTTTGTTTCAAGCGCTTTTTTATTTGACAGAAGTAATTGGTCTAATTTCGAACGAAGGTATATTAATAACTAGTCGTCATGCAAACAGCTGCGTATTCCACAGGTGACGTTTTGACACATAGTGACGTGAGTTTCATCCCACATCGAATGCCGGCTGTTACTATTTGCAAAGAGAGTACTTCAGAGGAGGACCTATTGAAAATGAACAATTTGTCCAGCAGCACGTTCCAACAATTCTTTCTTTTAACTCGATCCATTGAAGAAATGAGAACTTAAGTAATTCAGTTCATGCATGTATGCACGTAATGGGCTTGATACCCTTTCAGGTAATTCACACATTCACTTCTTTCAATGTCTTTATTCATCATTTCAGGATTCTTATACACCCATCCTCTTTCATTTATATTTAAAGAAAATTTAATTGAATTAAGGATTACTATATGATGATAAGCGCATCCAAAACCGAACAGAATAGTCTGTTTGTTTGAACTCGTGGAAGCGAGTGGTTCATCATTTGATTGCAGACATATACGGAGTGCTTATTATTTGCACAACTACATGTACATGTACACTGTCTCTAAGTGGGCTGCATTTGTGTACATGTACACTCTGTATATATACGTATACATGTACTGTGCTGTATATATTGTAGATGCACTTGTACATGTACAGTGTATGTACATGTACAGTATAATTATGTACATGCATTTTTCAGACAACACTACAGACTACACTAGGTGACGTGTACACGGCATTCAGACGACAACAGAACCGGCTGAAAGCCTTCACGGTTTTGGTTACGTAACAGTTGAAGGCGTGTCCGAGGGAAGCTCGTGGGTAGGTCTTCCGTGGTAGAGTAGTGCACGTACGATACACTGGCTTTCTTAGTGGCTATTTTTCATGAATGAAAAGTAGCGTACTTTGCATATTGATCCACTGTCGGCTTGACCATTAAGAGCGTCTGTTTGCAACCACTGGAGAAAGAAAAAGTTAACATTTGAACGTCACGTTCGCGTATTTGACCTAAAAGCCGTCACACAGAAAACTCCAATCCCCGAGAATCGGCGATGACAAACTGTTCCCAGGATCATAGCAGGATCATAAGCAAGTCTTATTCACCGCTTCATGCTAAGAAAAAAAATATTTCCTTAGGCCTTAACCCTAAAAGAGCCGAGGGGATGTAATCCGCCTTCCCTCAACATTTTTTTCGCTATCCCCGCAGTGCACTTTTAGAAGGTTAGCAAAAATGGAACATCTGATTCTCGCGCAGCGCGCATTTTTGGGAGAAGGGTCAGCCCCAAACCGTAACTTTTTCCACTGCAGTGGCATGCTCAATGCTTGTGTACTGGCTTGCATGCAGTACGGATGACGAAAAGTGGCCATCAGCTTTTCTGCTATCAGAATAGTGGAAAAGCAGATTTTACGTTTTTGTAACATGCAATTTTTGACGTGTCTACTTTCCTGAAAGCAGAATGACCAAACAATTTTATTGTAAAGCATTTCTCCACTTTTCTGCTACTGGAAAAGTAGTTTTACTTTTCCTCTTTTTGATGGCGGCCGAGAAGTGGCCATCTGCTTTTTACCTGTAAAACAAGCAGGAAAGTGATTGAACATTTCGACGACAACCATGAATTCAACTTTTCTGCTTTTGTGATACCGGGAAAACAGATTTTACATAGGTGGCCGAAAAATGGCCATCTGCTTTTCTGTCCTCAATGGGCCAAAAGGGTCATGAACCGGTAGGTTACGACCATTTTGTTCTTGGGGAGTGAAGACGTATAGAAACCAATACTTAAAGCATGCTTTCTGCGGACCAAAATACAGTGTAAATACAGTTTTACAACTCTCATCCAATAGACAAACAAGCTTGCTTGGGCCAAGGAAAACATGTGAATTTTTTATCATAAAAGATAGGGTGGACTTAATTTTTGGTTTACACGTCTTCAATCCCCAAGAAAGGCCATAACCTGAGGTTCACGACCCGTTCACGGCCTTTGGAAGGCAGAAAAGCAAATGGCCACTTTTTGGCCGCCTATGTAAAACAGCTCCTCCGGTATGAAAAGAAGCAAGAAGTAGAATTCACGATCAGAATTCAAGTATAAAAATGCACAACCAAACAATATTGTTCTGCGTTTGGGGTGGCAGAAAAGGAGGAAAGTCGAAATTGCATGTTGCCAGAACATAAAATCTGTTTTTCTACCATTCTGATAGCAGAAAAGCAGCCAAGCAGCCAGAAAAAGTAGCCATTTACATGTACTTCAAATGGCCATAACAACATTATATGTCTTATTGAGCTCAAACTTCACATGATGAGTGTCTGTACATGCATGCCAAGTTTCAAAACATCGGGCTTGGCACAACCGACTTCTTTGGGGCGGAATTCGCCCCCTGCGGCTTTGAAAGGGTCAAAATAACCTTGATCTTTGAGGGTTTAAAGAATATTTATTACCCTCCAAAGCATAAAACAATGAGTTTGGGACTTTTTGTAGCGCTGTTTTGCAGCGCTTTTGTTCGTAGAGGAGCATCGTATAAAGTAGTTCGTGATGGCAAAACCCACAATTTTATTATGACATTGATACTTTTTTGTAATGATAAGGAGCAAGTTCATCTATTTTTAGATGATGTTGCCACCTCCCCAACAATTTTCAACCGCAGAACTTCCTACGTTTGCCTGATCGCCGTGATACCTGACCCTGTAAAAATGTTTCTGTAAATTTACAAGAAATCCTGCCAAAGACTGTGTGAGTGTAAAGAGGCAATCGGCAGATCATTTTGTACCTGGGTTAGTTTATGTATTTACAAAATTATTATTTTCCGACGAAAAAAATAGTGTCATATTTATGGAGGCATACATGTAGGTTGTGGGGAGAGTTTGCAACTTTGCACCCGCTGCCGACATGCGTACATGTATAGAGAATTTAACACAGCTCAGCGTTACGTGTATTTTTTTACTTGTATGTATACCTCGTAGGCAGTGATTACGGTTGCTCTTCATGATATTGAGCCCAACCAGTATAATTACATGTGCATCGATTTTTCTCTACTGTAGTCATGGTTGGTTGGTAACAAAATTAATGTCAGATGATATGTGGCTTCAAACAAAATGCTTTATTCACAAAACGTTAACCAGTCATCATAACAACGTAAAATACAAGATAAATAGCAAAACAAACTTCAAAGAAAACATTTTGTTTTTGCATTTGGGTCAACATACAAATTAATATTAATACATGTTACAGAGGAAAGTTGTACAGTTATAAAGCTTGTTGGCTGATTTCTGATGAAACAATTAGCACACCACTCTGGAGTCACAAAAAGTGTCTGCTATTAAGCGATATGTTTTACTAAAACGCTATTAGAGGAAAAAGTAGTTTTTATGAAGTGTGGATAATCAATCGCTACTGTCGAACCGTAATTCTACATTTATGAAAAACAAAAATCCTGTAGTTTGATCGAGGTATTATTGGAGCTAAAGACCATTTTGGATTCCTTTGGGAGTATAAAGGATGCATTTGAATCAGTTGCTTAGAGTTAGGTCTAGGTCCTTAGCCACTGGAAATACGCAAGCATGTGTGCTGTCAATAGTAATAGGCCCATAGGCCGTCCGCTTCGAGCAGGAACAAAAGAGGGCGTGTTTTGAAATAAAATTACCGGTCCTTTCGTACCACAGACATGTCGTTTATATGTCTGTGTTGGTACTCACGCTCCGCATAGCTAGGTGTGCAAGTTTATGCTCATTTGACGCGGAGTACACTGAGTACGCGCAACGATTTGTCTAGATTAGAGAGTTTCGGCAGAAGTCGCGCGTGCGCCCGTCCCCGTAAATTGACAGGTATACGTTCACGTACGAGGTGCGCCATAAAATTAGTTTCGGCGATCAGTACGCTAGTGGGAGAGTGATCAAGCATGATCTCAACTCCTCTTCGCATCTAAACGTGTCCGTGGCCGTCACAACGCGAAATTTGTGCGCATGAATTGATGACGTCGGCAGCGAAATCTCTACTTCACGTTCACGGAGCGCGCGGCGGGGTTTCTTTCTGCCGAAACTCTGTGGCCTTCGCGTGCACGCCGAACGCGTGCTAGAACCCGGTTGGAAACTTAGTACCATCTGTCTTTCTTTCGCCGGTGAGGGTGCACTTCAGCTCAGGGCGGATAGGACCACTGGTCTCTATACACGTCCACTGGATAGACAGCTCAGCAGTAAACTGCCTGTGTGTGAATTGAAGTGACCGCGCGGCCATCTCAGGATATTCGACACAATTGCCTCCAACTTCAGTCCGTTCACTAAGCGCATTCATGCATAGCGCTAAGGCCAGTGACTTGAAAAAAACCGTTGTTATTTATGTTTTGTGGTGGAATCTCCGTTGCCAGGAAAAATGCACCCTCTCTTGGTCCAGCTCGGAGCCCATAGGCTTTTACTTTGTAAGCGTTCACTGCCTGCCACTGTTGTGTGCCGGCTGAGTGCTTCCATTCTCATGCCTATGATGTCAACCAACGATACTCTGATAATCATTTTGCTCCATTTTCATACTTGATTACACTGAATCTGGTATGAGACTTTAAATAAATGTTAAGTAGTCGTTTGCCCCATGTAACATAGTTTGAAGCCCCCTCATCCCCATTAAAAAGAACCTTGCTGCACATATATAGTCCGGCTAGACTCAGTGTGAGACTCGGATTGATTGACGGGACCATATCGGTTTGGTGAGTCTCGTATAGAGTTTCGCCTATGAGGAATTGGCTGATGTTTGTTCTCAATAACTTGATCTGATTTTTACAGGAAACGTATGACTTGTACTTTTGGTACAATGTAAATAGACCAAATGATGTTCTGAAACTTCGGCCTAACAAAACTTGAAAGAGTTGTTGCCAAATGGTTGTCGATATAATAACGGATTCATTGCGTAATAATACCTCAAAACTTTATTGTGCGTATACCAACTTCCGTTGTTATAGTACGGGAAGGTGACAAACCCGCATGACTACTACCCGCAATAAAATCAATGAAAGGCTTAGACAGATGGCCAAAAACACTTGAACGCTTAACTTTCGCTGGTACCGTACAAAATGTACATGTATGTTGATGATGACAAATCAGGATGTCTTGTGTATGGTTTTTAAACTGCATTTTTAGTGTTAGCATCGATAGTAAAATCAAGGAAGGGTAGTTTTTAGAAGAAATTTGAGGCAATTTTGAATTAAAGAGAGTTTCCTTTAGGCCACATAAAAATAATCGCTGAGCTCCCTTTTTAACAAAAATCTTGGGCTAGGAGGGCGGTGTGTTTTATTGTTCAGTTCAACAAACTGTACATCTTTGCTGGATTGGAAAATTTCCTCAATGAAATGAGTTTTATTTATCTTCTTTAAAGGGTTTTACAAAGGCAAATCATTCATCACAAAAGGAGATAGGCCTGGGGTTGTACAGCCAAGTGAAACTAGGACGGTTTGTCAGAGAGGGTCACGGTACTGTAGCTCTGTGAAGTGGAATCAGTATCTGGTGGGAATGGGCCGTCGATATTGAGTGCTAATCCATCATGCAGCAGAGGTCGAGGCCGCATCCTAATTACACGCTGTGGCTGCTACCACATTGTACAAAGCTGCTGTGGTTGCCGCCTTAAGGCCTTGTAGGCTGCTCTATTTTCCACAGGTTTATGCACGCGGCCGCAACCAGCTGCAGCCAATAATTCGGATGCGGCTAACGCAACCACTATAGCTGTTTGATGAATCTCAACCTCGTTTCCATGGGCTCGATCTTGCCCCGCCGTGGAGTTGAGATTAGGTGAATCTGCACTCGTACTCGTACATGTGGATGTTTGGGAGCAATCGGCGATTTCCGGAAGTATCGTTTCTAAAGTGTGTAACAGAAGGTCGCTAAATTTGAATGTGGTATCGTCCAAAAGACCATTTTCCCGTTTATTTTCAAAAAGGAAAAAAATTCAAAAAATGGAGGCGGGTGTACTTGTATTTCTTAGGGGCGGGTGGGGATGATTACAACCTGTTTTTCGATGTGGCCTTATTAAAACCAGTTTCAGGCTTGAAAGAATGAAATATTTTAGTTATTACCGGTGTGATTTTTCGCTTGTAGGACGGGGAGGATATCCTTCACCATTAAGTCTATACACTGTATATTGTACTACAGTTGACTTGACGTATGTCTCATGCTAACCATCAGGCATGCAGTCTGTGTATGTTTGAAGAAGTAACTCTTGTCGGCTTGAAGTGTTTTATTGCTTTATAAGGAATACCAAGCTATAATATGTTTTATAGCATGACTGCCGTATTTTATGTCACTCATCAACACTTCAAGTATGCGTTTAGTGCTCTGAAAATACTCCTGGGCGTAGCTTTGCTGTCCTGGTTGAAGGAATGTTGTAGTTTTTATACTGTCACTCATAAGGGGGACCACTTTATATGACGAACTCGTTTCCTGAAGATATAGTTTTATAGATTAGGTATAATAAAATTATATACCAGAGCCTACTAGTACAGGAGATATATTTTCGGACCTCATCGTATGCGTCGTCTAAACGAATTGCCGGCCCGACACTCATGTCTAATATCCTCGACTTCCTAAATGTATATCGTATAGTGAACTCAATCCAAAACAAAACCGGAAGCATGCACTTCCGTTTTTTCCAAAAATATATATATTCATGTACATGTATATAGGAAAACGAACTTGAAGAAACATCTCAAAAACATCTTGAAAAATCTTTTGTTGGAAATGTACGCTTATGCTCCCCCCTTTTAAAAAATGTCTAGGCCTAATTTATTGCACTAGTGGGCTTTCGTTCACGATAATGGTGGGAATTTCAGGCACTAAAGGCTTTATCTGTCATTGTTGGTGATCGGGAGCTAAAGTGCCATGTCCGTGTTCGTTTTAATCTCCATATCTGTTGTTGATGCAAAGCAAAACTGGATATAGCCTTTCGAAATTTGAAACACGAAATTAAAGATCACAAGGTGATAGATATCGCCACAAGCTACCATACAACAGCTGTACACTGCATTAATTGAAACTGAAAACTGTTCGGATACCGTTGTTTACCCTAACAGCGCAAGTGTGTCGCTAAAACACATTTAATTGTGCTAGGGAGCATTTGGCACTTACACAGGTGTGCGCGTTTTTTCCCCCAAGTAGCAAACGGCACTGAAGATGGGGGAGGAAAGTAAACATAATTGGACTTGTTCTCCTGGTGCATACTAAATTCTTCTTCGTTGATTTTTAAATACAAAAAGAAAAACAGCTTGTTTTCCACTCCAGCAATCTACTTCGATTCACATTGAAATGTTTTCTCTCTTGTTTAAAACGTGAGCTTTTAAAACATGCGTACACTATCGGAAATATGCTTCACTTCAACGAAATGCATTTTTACAAATTGTCTTTTGGTTTGGCCTTGCCTAGTGACTTTTTTGGTTCAATGCATTAATGTACATGTACTAGACCGGATCAGCTATATAATGAAAAAAGGAGATTGGTTTGAAAACCGGTACAAACAAAAGTAATGCCATAAACGTCTTTGCTTTGACTGTTTGATCACTGTTTGAGTTTGCGACCCGCAAACACTTTTCTTTGTGAAAGGTAAACAATGAGTAAGGACACGCCTTTGGTTGGTCAACATTTTCGTGTTTAATATGGGTGTGAAGGCAGTAGGGCCTACTGAAGTGGTCGGGTTAATGAACGAATCCGCCGATTTGTCCTACGCATTTAGTGTCCATATGTGGTCACAAATTTGGAAAAATTGTAACCCAGTAAACCAGCCTAGGGTTTTCTAACTTCCTAAGGAATTACCCTCCTGCAGTGGCTGTCTGCGACAGGTACTTCAGAATCTATAGGTTCTTAAAGTTCTGCAGATAATGACTCGGATGAAACACAAAATTTAGACGTGTGGAAATTTTGTGAAAGAAATCAAAGGAAGGAAACATCGATATAGGCAAAATGGTTTGGGCGTGGTAGCTTCGCTTTTTTAGGAGGGGATAATTTGCCGATATGACGGCCTCCTTTCATTGTGACCATCGAATAAATGACAATATAGTTGTTGTGAACAGGGGATGAATATGCAAAGGGGAAACTATCATGCAGGCAAAAAGGTATCTCCCTTGATGCAAACACATTTAGGCCTATGCAAGTTTCTATTACATGTATCATTCATTACCCCAATCATCGAACCGCCCTTGAGCTTCAGCCACAGTCCATGAAAATAATAAAATTAGTTTTCATGCTGTCTTGTTTGTTTCCCGGTAGATCTATCGTGATTTTTTATATTACCTGCAACTTATAAGATATGGGTTGACATTAGCCTGAAAAAAAATTAGAAGTAGTTTATAAAATTCGGAGGTTGGGCTCATGGTTTCAGAAAACTGAAGTTAATTACATTGTTCTTTTGACTGTTGGGCTGTCGTGCAGGCTGCATGTTTTTTTATAGGTTTTGTAACGATATTCTGTAACCTGCACTTTTGCATATCTAGGCGTCTTTCCAATCTTCCCGTGGGACACTGAAGGGGTACTTCTTAGCCGGAAAGAGCATGGTATGGTGGCCTATAGGAGCATCCTTGTTTGCCAGCAACATCGGCAGTGGACATTTCATCGGCCTGGCAGGTACGGGGGCCGCGTCTGGACTTGCTGTAGGCTCCTTTGAATTTAACGTAAGTCAGTAGTTCATTTAAAACGCTCTCCGTGTTTTCAAATAATCATGTTTTAAATCATTAAATCTTGCTATATACAACATTATATCATCTCACATTAAACTAGCTGTCTAAATTCTGAAGCACCTATATACGTTATTACTTCGTATATTTTTGTCGTTACCGATTTGAATGATTTCTGTGATTTTGAAAGGCGGACCTTTCTTCAATAATTTTAATCAACAGGCCATGTTTATTTTGCTGCTCCTGGGCTGGATATTTGTGCCTGTTTACATGTCCTCTGGGGTACGTATGCGATCTTTAAAGTTTTCTTATCAAATCATCTGTCATATTTGTAAAACATAATTTGTCAAGTGTTTTCTGACAGTTGCAATTTCAATGCAATTTCAAATTAATTCAGGTCTAAGTATACCTTTGATCCCCACTTAACTTAATTTTTTTATTTTGTCATTTCAAAAGAAGTGGTGGTATGGTAGTATAGGATTGGTGAACAAATTACGCATTTTCTAATGTTGGATGTATTGAACAGCGTTGAAACATCTTCTTATGTGTACTGACAATCATAATAACTGTTGGCGCTGTCTGTAATCGAGTTTTGTTGATGTCAGGAAAAATGTCAGGAAAAGAAGGTGGGTTGCAAAAAAGTCATTCCAATTTAACAGAAGTTCAAAGTCGACAGTAGCTTACCGTGTTGCAGATTTAAAGGGCGCATAACATTACAATCTCCTAAATGCAAAAAGGGTTCAAATTATCTTCCACTTAACTGCAAGAAAGCCTTCTGTCTACATAAATAATTTGGCTCTTTAAGTGAGATTAGGTAGGAGCATGGTAGGAATACTCGTGAAAACCAACTGAGCGAGGTGAACTTTGATCACAATATTCAATAAGAGGATTGCCTCAAGGTTTACAAAGTATACATGTACGTGGCGTCGCATGGTTGAGTTTCAAAGCCAAACAGGTTCGAAGAAACACTGAGAATAATGATAAGTGTGAAATGATTGACAATAGAACTGATTATAATTTTTTTACGTGTGAACTGTGACTTTTAGTAATTTTTCATTCTGCGTCACACACCGAAAGCCCCCTTATACAGATGCTAGTGAATATGATTACAATGCAGATGGTATAGGCCCTTGGTTTTGGGGATGATCGAGAATTGTTTCGCCATTTCGGGGAGTCAGGTTGCCGTAGTGGTTCTTTCCTTGCCTTCCACCTCTGCGGTCCGGGTTCGAATCCCGGCCCGGTACACATGTTGATTGGATTTTGAGTCCTTACCTGATTCCGTGTGTTTTAATCAGAATATTCCTTTGGGGTTTTCCTCCCAGCTCTAAAACTGTAACTGCTTCGCACTGTCTCCTCTCTACAGATTGCTTCAGGCTTGCGAGCTACAGTGCCAAGGGTGCTTTTAAGGAATCCTTGGTGTCATTACCAGAAATATACAATAATAAATATTTAATAATAATAATAATTTTTAGGGGTCCCTTTGCCCATATTGTGTTAGATTTGAAGCCTTTTCCCCATAATTTCTTGCACAATATGATGAATATGAAGTTGGTCGTCTTAATTCCATTTTGTAAAGTAAGATTGACATGTAAAATTGCAACTACCATTTAATTTCAGGTCTTTACCATGCCTGAATATCTACGAAAACGTTTCGGCGGGCAGCGTGTTCGTGTATACCTCGCCTGCCTAGCTCTGCTTCTCTCGGTATTGACCAAAATATCGGTGAGTGAGGGTCATCGTGGAATTAGATATGCGACTTCTAATCATATTTTCTTAACAGTATTCATGCCGTACATTATTGAGGCCTCGAAGAAACCTCTCTGAGATTAGGCACATCAGACACGTTTAATGAATTTCAGCTTATAAATGGAGTTTTTAAAGACCAATTTAAATCAAAATGTCACATGAATATTTAAATTTTCTTACTTTAATATCCGATTAGATTGATTTCATTTCAGCATTGGTATTTTTTTTGATGAATTAATCACACGTGTCAAGATAATGGAGTGTCACCAAATCTCTGTTTCTCTGTTTTCCCGATCGAACTCTGGGTGTGATATGGTTTTTATTTTGTTTCGACCTGTTATCTTTGATCGTCTCTCCGCTTGTTGACAGGTTGATATGTATGCAGGGGCTCTGTTTATTCAGGAATCTCTACAGTGGAATTTGTACGTTGCCATCGTGTCGCTTCTGGCTATTACAGCTCTCTACACTGTCGCTGGTAAAAGAATGATCATAACATCTTGTTTGCATATGCATGTAGATGAAGAGTACAATCCGTTGAATTGTCACCTTTTGTACGTGTGAAATCCTTACAAAATTTACATGTGGACTTTGTAGCATTTCCCAGTACTGTAAGAATTCAAGGGTGATATTGGAACAATTTCAGCACTGGCAATTACATGAAGGTGTTTTAAAAGCGCTCTGCCAGAATTGAACAAGTTAAGCAAATTTGTGTATACCTAGCAAGAAATGAAACCGGGGGTTCCCCCTAACATGTCNTGTTTGAATGTCTCATCAAAAGACTCAGTGAACATGCACGTCGCCAGATGGAAAAACAATGGAAAAATAAAAAGACGAAACGGGACGAAAATCACCAATTTGCTTGGGGGAAAATATCGAAATTACCCCTGCCACTGTGTCAATGGTTTATCAGTTCATTGCTGAGTGCTTTGCTCACGGAGGCGCCCGTGCTACCCGGTCCCCCTGAATAGAAAAGTCTTGGGGACGCCCATGCCATGACTAATTAATTATTAATTAATAATATAGTTAAAAAAACTGGAGGAAAATACAATTGGCCGTAGTGTACAATCCGACGCTTTACTAATATTGTATATTTGGACTTTTACCGAATACATGTGCAATCGACTCCCACATCGTGGTTCATAGCGTATTCCACAACTCGCTTTCCTCCAAGCATAGGCGCAGTTCCCAATTCTTGGTTTGATATGCTGCAACTAGAGAATTGTTTAATCCCGTACCGTGGGGGGTAGTGTGGGGGGCAATGTTATGGCGACATTAGTTGTCAGAGTTTGAAGGAACCAGGAAATGGAAAATTTTTTATACATTTTACTGAAAACCCTTGAAATTGCATCTTTGGGTTTCAATTAACCTGATTTTAAATTTTTGTTTTGCAATTGTAAGTTGTAACCCATATTTTGATGCTTTTTGGTCATCCAAGGCACTGAATCTCAATGCTGCACTGATTTGTGCACATAACATTTTTTAACCACTGCTATGGCAGATTTCATTTTCGTATTGCTCTGTAAGTATATGGCAATAATCCAGCAGAAATCCTTTTCCCAGAAATGTTCCCAGATAGCAAATTTGGGGTTCGCAATTTTAACATGAAAACGTCCAACCTGACATGTATTCCTGGATTTACATCAAAGCAAAAGCGCCCTCACTTGCCAAGAAATACTTGGTCAGTTTTTAATGTTTGAAAAGTGTACCGTTCAGTTCACATAACTCCAAAAAGATGTCAAACGGTCTTCATACATGGAAGAAGAGTACAGAGATACTCAAAAAGTGATTCTAAGAAAAATTTTTCCTTCAAACAATTTCCAACCCGAAGCCAAGCAGGAGATAAACTGATGTGTCACAATAGTAGCATAAGCTTGTGCTAGAAATTGGTGGGAATGCATGGAGGGATTGGGGAAGGGTTGGGGATAACTTTCTGTGGACATTTGAGCGGGGGGGGGGTGTTGACACCGTATGACACCATATGGGGGCCTGTTCATGATGCAGATTTACATCCGTAATATGTATTACATTAATTTTTGCAAATATTACATTAGCACCAAGTAGTTATTTATTTACTTATTAATAAATGTATTTTATTTATTGTTATGCCCTTTTGAGTGCTGATGAATACATTTTGGTTCTTGGCAGACCTTAATTTTTTTTCTCACGACGAAAAAGTGGGGTATGATTAAATAGCCCATTCCCCTGGTCAAAAAATGCGGGGTGGATTTACGCCCATGGTCACTTGTTAATTCCACACTGGGGTATGGTAAACACTTCTGGCAGAATTTATCTGTTTTGATTGGGTTTTATGCAGGATGCTTTAAATCATCGGATTCTCATAACTGGTGCCCTGTTCATATTCCTCCTCCTATTCTATCAGTAAATAGCCGTCAAATCCCGCCAAAAGCGAGGTCTGTCTCGCTTGTATTAATTTAGGCGATGTGGTTTGATTATTAGCGATTTGAATGGAGGACAAAGTTTGTAACTTGACTATTCATAGCGACCTTTGATTTCTTCACTTGTCACTGCCTTGTATTGACGATTCGACTTGAGTCCTTGCCTTTCAAATAATAATAAATTAAAACTTGATCATCGGGTAATACTTTTTTGCCAGTAATAAAAGGAAATGAAGTCTAATTCATGGCCACCCAAAGAAACATTATAAAAGAATTTTGTATGGTAGGGTATAAGACATCTGGAACTGGCGTTGTTTTCGTGACTTACAATCGAAAACGTTACTTGAAAAGGTTACTCGACTCCAAGGACAAAGTATTTATTCCTTTTGACCATGGTAACGGATTTCATTTACGTTTGTTGGACGTTGGAGTCTGATTTCTCATGCATTGATTTTTTCCATTCAGGTGGTTTATCCGCTGTTATTTACACGGACGCATTGCAGACTTTTGTCATGGTCGTTGGTGCCTTCGTTCTCATGATTCTGAGTGAGTTCATAAAGATAATTCTCTTCTTCTTGAGGAAAAAACCTGCAAGGGCTACATACAAAACAATAAAATCTTGTACTTAAAGATTTTTCTCAGTGAAAGAAATTTGGGCACTAGGCCTATGTAGCAATGGTACCATCACACTTGCCTTGCATATGATGCGTTTTGATATACAGGTGGGGACAACAAATTTCAAGCTCCTCAGCAAAGTACATAATTATAAACAAACTATGACGTCGTTATAACGGCCCTCTGTTCTTCCTTGGTTGGAATACAGCTCGTTTAAAAATGCGTATTTCTTGTCTTTCTTCATAAGGCTTCCAACGGGTGTCTTGGGATGAGCTACATATCAGATACCCTCAAGCTATCCCGAATACTACCTTGGCTAATCCTAACACCACTTGCGGCTTTCCACGAGAAGATGCGTTTCATATCTTCAGAGACCCGATAAACTCAGATCTGCCTTGGCCAGGAATGATCTTTGGTATTACCATCTCATCTATCTGGTACTGGTGTACCGATCAGGTATACTTTGCACAGTCACTGATATTTCAACCAAAACACAAATAATCTTCCCAATATGACTTATTTGTGATGTTTTCTAAATGTCACCGATCTGCAACCCTGCGTTATCCTATATCGAATCTCTTCAAAATAACAGTTCCTTAGAATTTGCATAGGTTTATTCGCTGAAAATGATATCTGCCAAAATGACAAATGCATGGAATATTGTCCTTGTTTTACAGGTGATTGTTCAGCGTGCACTGGCTGCAAAGTCTATTTCCCACGCTAAGGGGGGCACCATTTTTGCTGGTTTTTTGAAAACTCTGCCGATGTTCCTTATTGTTCTACCTGGCATGATAAGCCGTGTACTCTTTCCCAATGAGGTAGCATGTGCCACTAAGGAGACTTGCCTAGAGGTATGCGGCAGCGAGGTCGGATGCTCCAATACAGCATTCCCCAGACTTGTCTTGGACGTTATGCCGCAAGGTATGCAATTATAGTCGATAGATTTTTCCGTCTTGGAAATGTGTTCCTTCCTCCATTGTGTACAGTCATATTATGAGCACCGTGTGCATTCATGGCTTAGTGCTAAGGGAATGATCATAAGAAGCCAGGGTGGAAGTTGAAGCACGACTTCCTTTCAACTACTTACTCTGGCTTTTTAATCCCCACCTGTACACAGAGTGTTCTGGGTCAGAATTTGGCCGGTTGAAATTTGGTGAAGCAGTATATCAGTTATGAACCAGTTAAAAATTAATAAGTATATATATACATAAATACTTCACGAATCGTTATATTCCAGACCCCCCTTGCTTGTAGGGAGCTTAGTGTAAGAGTGACTGTTACTAACGTGCATCACACTTTCACTGACAACTTTGCCACTTGCTTAAGTCAGTATCCTCAGGCAAGTTAGAGCGACGACCATAGTTAACCATACTTTGACAAGCGTCACACGAACGATGGATGTTTTGACTATCCAGTCGACCAATTTACAGCCAGGCCCTGGGCCTTGGTCGCTAGTTATCAATATTCAATTTCATGAATTAGTATAGAGGGAATTTTGCATACCGGTATGTAATACTTGTCTACAAGATGTCATTCACTATGAATGTCGCGAAAGTTAAGAATATAAGCAACTATGACAGAATATTTTCAGTTTCGGTCGTTCGCGTATGACTGCACTGCACATGATTAAAAGCAACTGACTGGCGGTCGAACTATATTAGTGCCACAACTTGTCCCTGGTGAAACAAAAAGCGAAAAAAAAATCACAAATATGTTTGAGGTATGACGCCTTTTGAGAACTTTCGACTTCAGAACTCCTCGTACTAATGCTTGTTCTGCACATCCATAAACAGGTGCACGTGGCTTGATGCTGGCTGTTATGCTGAGCGCCCTCATGAGTTCACTTACGTCTATTTTCAACAGCAGCAGTACAATTTTTACAATAGACATCTGGCGGCGAATAAGACCACGTGCCAGTGAAACAGAACTAATGATCTGTGGACGGTGAGTATTAAAAACTTTTCCCTCAAATATATATACCTCAAACCCTCAGTTTTGCATTTTGACCTTTCTTTTAAGAATTACGTTTAAATCTTCGTTGCTTTTCCTTCAATAGTCAAGATTTCCCCAATTTTCTTCTCCTGTATCTGCAGCATCTCCTCTACCCTCTTCCCTTTCTTCCATTACTGATTTATCTGTCACTGATTTACTATCGTCAACTTTGTTCTTGTTACAGTGTCTTTATTCTTGTGATGGTCGGAATCAGCGTTCTTTGGATTCCTATAATCCAAGCTGCACAGGGAGGTCGCCTTTTTGACTACATACAATCTATTACAAGCTACTTGTCACCTCCCATCTGTGCTGTGTTCATCCTTGCAGTTGCCTGGTCTAGAATAAATGAAAAGGTACGTGTAGGCTTCAATCGTCTTGAAAACACATGTGCATGCACAGTTTATACATGTACGTCCTATTCTGGACTTTTATATTGTTCACTTCTAATAGTAGTTGAAACTTTATTCAGAATGCATCATGCCATTTTCTTTCACCCAAACTTGGAAAATGAGGTATCCACAGAGAGTGTGAAAGACTTGTCAATCATGTATTTATTAAGTCTGGTTTTGAGCCTTTTCCAAACAGAAATGAGAATGTGCACCAAATAATTGGATAATAATAATTGAATAAAGGATGAATTAAGGTTAAAGTTAAGTTTTTCGTTTTATGCTGAATGTATGGAATTTCAAGTAGTTCAGCCAATACTTTCTTTTTCATTAGTGTGATAAGTTTGTGCATTTCATGATTATTGTTTCGCAAAGAAATTAAAGTATTAATAGTTTTTGTGTATGGTGAGCACAGTCTTTCATTACGACGTGTCTTATCATCGTGGGAAGTTTTCAACAATGATGAGCAAGCAGGACATATGACGTCAATCAGCATCATCTGCATACTTTTCTTGTTTTAGGGGGCATTTGCTGCACTGATGGTTGGGCTTGTTGTTGGCATGGTTCGTATGGTGCTTGACTTTGTCTATTCGGCTCCCAGCTGTGGCGAGGAAGACACCAGGCCAGGAATTGTGGCAGATGTCCACTATCTATATTTTGGGATAATTTTATTCGGCATTTCCTTCATTGTGACCATCGTTGTTAGTTTGCTCACCAAACCTATCCCAGAGAAATATGTAAGTTCAACATTTTATTTAACAAATTGGCCATTTTTATTTGATAATGATTTAACAAGTGTGTGTTGCAGAATTCAAGTTTTACAATCATATGGCTTCCCTTGTATGAAGGAACCTTCAGTTGCCCATATGGTGCACCTTAATATAAAGAAGCTCAGTAAAATTATTTGTTAATTCCCTTTTAGCTGGTTCGACTGACTTGGTTGACTCGCCACAGTAATCTAGAAAGAGTTGACCTAGCAATCTCGGACATAAAACTTCAGAATAAGGAAGAGAACACACCTATGCGTGGCGAGGATGAGGAGGAGGGATATAACAAGGGTGAGTTGAGGATAGAAAAAAGGGTATTACATCTGACTAGTCCTGAACTTTTAGGGAAATCTGTGGTGGAATTTTTGTCTCCTTAATCTTTGTGCCCTTAATCCTTAATTTTAAGTGCCTGAAATGGTAGCACATAGAATACGAATAGGAATGTAGCTATCTTGAATTCAGTGTTGTAACTTCTGGGTAGTGAGGTATTGAGACCTGACCTTGTGTACAACTTAAAAAAACCTTTTAGTGAAAGAGGTTTTCGCGTACACACTATGTGCAATTAATCACTTCTAGAAGTGTGGTGGTTCCCCACTATGTGCAATCATTCACTTATAGAAGTGTGGTGGTTCCCCACTATGTGCAATAATTCACTTCTAGATGTGTGGTGGTTTCCCCACTATGTGCAATCATTCACTTTTAGAAGTGTGGTGGTTCCCCGCTATGTGCAATCAATCAGGCGTAACCTACATCATGCAAAGTTTCAAATCTTACTTAAAAACTGTTGTAGAACTACTGCTATTTTAAGCTTTTGAATTCCGTAATAACGCGAGTCAGCAAAAATTGCCCAGCAGGAAGTTATCAGTGTGGACATATTGTGATTTAAAAAAGAGTATTGTACAAAGCATGTAAGAAGCAAATCAACTGCAATAACATACGTATTTATTCATATTTCTTTCCAGTGTTTGATACATGTATGTACTTGGTTGAGATCTTGCTCACGGTTTTGGTCAAGCACAGTTTGGTCTTGGATAGGCCCACAAAACTCTCGGTCTCAAAAGGGCTTTTCTCATCCTCAGATTCCTGTACCTCAATAGGGGTGTAGGTTTTGGTCTAGGATGGAATGGTAACAATTCTTAATTAACAGTATCTTTCCGAATCATTATTGAATTTGTCTAGCTGCTTGTAAGGATGTCAAAATTGCGACATTCGTGATATCGCTGTGGTTGTCTCCAGTAATGAATAAGACAGGATTTTAGTTGATTCTTTGTAAAATGGAATTGCAAACTAAGTTTGTCACTTTTGATCATGTTCTTTATTGTACTAAACATGGATTTTATTGAAAAAAACTCCGTGATATATTCCCAACCAATGTCATTTTAATTTATTTTTTTCTAAAGAGACTGAGTGCTAAAATTCAGAGCTTGTAGCCCAGAAGGTTTATGGCACAACACCTAATGGATTTCGCGAATGTATAACAATTCATCCCCTCAATTTTAATCTAAGATATTTCACTTGTCAAGTCTGAATCCAACTATTCTTTTATATTAACAGAAGAGTCGAAACCTCCGATTGGGCGACGTGTGGTTGATTGGTTGTGCGGCACAGGAAAACAAGACAAAAGTGATGGTCTGACAGAGGAGCAGAGGAAAGAATTGATGAAGAAGATGACCGACATTAAGGAGACACGTAAGGAGACTATAATACTTAATATCGCTGCTATATTACTCATGTGCTGTAGTATCTTTTTCTGGGCCTTCTTCGGCTGAGAATCGGTTTGAATTGATGGAAATAACTTTTCACACATACGGTAACAGACTCGCTGACTTGACCCATTCAAGTCAAATTGTTAAATGTAAATCATACTACTATTTTATTTGATTTTAGTTGGGTAATCATATAACGTGATTGTATCAATTTGTTAGTGGCGGTATTGAAAGGTTAGGGTTAAGGTTTTGTAGGATTTCACTTTTATGTAAGTGTGTTATATTTTAATTATTGTCTGGACAAACAGTGTTCAGTTAAGTTTACAAATGAAAGTAAAACATTTTTAGTGTCACATTTCTGTTTTCGTTGGGCAAGGGGTTACACTAAATTGAAACAGAACCATTGAGAAAGTACCCAATGAGGGGATTAAGAGAATATGAGACAAATAGGTGTGCTCATTAGTTGTCTGCAGGGGTTTTGCTAGATTGTGTTTTATATCAATTGCAAATTGAATACGTTACCAATTTAAGAATGCTCTGTATTGTAGAGAAATAGGGAAAGGGTGGGCCTATTTTGACGACATTATCACATTACAAATATCATAAACCCAGGACCGGTAAATATTCTGATTTGTGTTTTGGCGTAACGCCTTGTGATGATATAGTGTAATAGCCTAGTTATGATTGGCTCTTTACAAAATTGAAAACAGGGAAATCTGCCTAAAATGCGCAGTCGAGTCAGCTTTGCTAAATTGAATGACGGTTGTGCGTCACGAAAATGAACGACGGTATCCTAAATTGAGCACACTGCTAGAGGAATCCGAATGACTCAAAATGAAATTGAAGGCCTGAATTCTGAATTTGAAACAGTAGAAACTTGGGTGGAAATGGCTTCAATTAGAACGCTTGAAACTGAAAATAGTTGCTATATTGTTATCACAGACAAAGGTGTTTAAATTTTGTATCATAAATATAAATTATCTATGGTATCTACAATGCAGTTAACAACTTATTGCTTCAAGTTGTCTACGTTACATTATTTACTTCAACTTGAATAAAACAGTGAAGGAAAAGAATAGTGGAAAATACACTCAGATGAGAACTTAATAGCGCCTATTAAATCACAGTTCCTGATTCTAGATGTGGCGCTTTGACCACTTTTATCCCAAAGGATCTACGGGGTTAATGATAGCTTGTGAATCGATGTACATGTACAATACACTGTGACTTGAAGACTATTACGCTTACCTGTCATATGGTACAAAAGTGCAGAAACGAATTTGTGTCATTGTGTACCTTTACCTTAGAACTGGCTTTCCACTTAGTTATTATTGGTAAAAAACTTAACACTTCAAGGACTGACATTGTAATATAGCTTAGCGTATGAACCTGAGGGTTTCGTCAAGTTTCTTCGCATTGCTTAAGCTAGCAACTGTGATTATATTATTTATGTTTAGTTGCATTGTGATGATTTAGTCTATTTTTTTTGGCTTTTTGCCAACGGCTTTCTGAAATTGAATCTTAATGATGATTTTGATTTCTCTGCATAAATGAATATAAACATTGTAAAATATATATGTTGAAAATTACTTGGATGTATACAGTCTAACAATGAATTGTTTCTATCATGGCCTTGAAGTTAGCGTTGTAGTGGACAATTACCACTTAGAAACAACTTTTCAAGGTGGTTGGGGAAAATGTATCTTTTATTGAAGGAGTAAACTATACTTTCAATCGAGTGACTTCCTTGCTGGTTTTTGTTTGTTTTTCACAGCCTCACACTAATATTCTGCATGTACGTGCCTTAGCTGAAGTGTGGGTTATACCTTAATTTTCAGCGGTTTTAATGATGTACATGTACTTGCACATATGATGCATATAAATGATATTTCAAATTAACCCTAAAAAGACAAGATTCAGCCAAATCGTTCACTGTACATTTTCAAAGTATCAGACCCTGGCAACACTTTATTTTGAAGAACAACTCGGAGCATAAGTTGTTCTTTTAGCTCAAGACTGTGCTGATAACAACTTGCGTTGTCACACCTGCAACCGTCTTTCTCAGTTGAGGATTTATTGGCACATATTTGAAGGTGAGCCTACACAATAACTTTTGAGTAAATCAAAATCCCGTATTGCATATAGCATATAAACAGCAAGATAAAGCTGTTTGGCTCACGATTTTTTTTGGGGGGGGGCACATTCAGCGAATTAAAATGGTCTCACGTTGCGTCCCGGGGTACATGCTTATATTTTGTCGCGTTTGAAAGTAATCCTCTAAAAGACGCTTGGAAATTCCAGTCGTTTATTACATCATTTGACACTCTTCTTCTGACTTTTTTGTTGGATGAATCATTTATTTCACATGTACAAATTTTTAGTTTTAGCTTTTCCTTTATTTATATTTGATAATCGTAATGCCAACTAAAGGACTTGACTCTGGTTACTCTCGTGTTGCACATGTGCCGTCCGGTCGAAGCGTTTATCGCAGTAGGGTTTCTACTTCGGTTGAAAAATGCGACCCCCAACCAAACACACTTGATCACACTAGGTCACACTTGATCCAAAAATGACAAATTTGTCCCAATTTGGTTTTCTTTCATTATACTCTAGACGATACCTAGGCAAATGGCTCGTTGTAAGGCCTTTATTAATCTGTTTTTTGTTGCAACGAGAGTTATCAACGAAGCCCAGCGCATTTAGTGACCACCTGATAACAAACTGGAATATTCCGCATCCGTTTTCACCATGCGCTATCACGTCTCTGCTACCCTTTCCGGCTGTTGGACCTGACGGCTGACCTGCCTCTAATTTTTTTTTAGGATTGTTAGTGTTTTGGCGCCAGAGCTGTACTGGAATAGAGAGGGAGATGTAGATAGTTACAGATTTTGGAACCAAATCGGTTCTCAACGTTTACTGTTGACAGTGTGGCTGTATACATATTTCAGCAATGTACATGTACGCTTACACGGCTCTGCAGTGGTGCAGCTACCCCGCCCTCCAGGTAGCTCGACCGATCGAACGGTCGATGTTCATGATATTGACGTACATCTGTAATACGTATTCAGAATGGCATATTTATTGCTTTTTAAAAATTGTGTTATCGTTTTTGAGTGATATTGAATACATTTTAGTTCTTGGAAATCTGAAAAATTCTTCACAGTTCGTTTTGTTTTTTTTGGTCACCACAAAAGAGTGGGTGTGTGCATGTACTCGTGAAGGGTGCTCGGAGGGAGGTCGGATTGCAAATCGAGGACGTCCTCAGTTTGCATTACAGTGACATTTCGGGTCACAGTGAGCATTCAAGTTCTGACAGTCAGCAAAATCTCAACGCTTTTGGAAGCAGTCCTCGGTGTACGCCCTCTCTAGCTCTCGACCTATGTTAGCCCTGGGGTTGCCCTACACCAAATACGCGCCCATAGAAAACAACGCAAAATTAGATCGAAATAGCGCCGCCCGTTTACTCTAGTGAAGAGGTTGGCCTCCGTTATTCACCAGAAATTCAAGATTATGGCCAGAAGATCACTTTTCGTTTCAATTTATGAGGGTTAGCGACGAAATGTTTTTTTTTATTCGCCTTTCCCCGAAGATACCCGCACAATAGTTGTAGTAAAACTATGCGCTCAGCTCTGAACGTAGCCGCCCGCCTCTATCCAAAATAGGCCCACAATCTGGGGCTTTTTGTGAAAAAAATATACCCCGAACTGGAAGCTGTCCATAATTCGAGATTTTTAGAAATATTTCTATGATCCCTCCTGATTATGACATATCTTATTGGAAACCCCGGTGAGATTACAAAATATTAATGACCTCGCGCGCAGAAATACAACCATTTCGTGGAATGCATGTTGTTTTCTGTACACCATTGGTCTTACGTGTTAAGTGTGGCTTGGGCTTCAGTAGCCGCACCCCGCAGTGCTGATTCAGCGATAATTGCCATGTCGTCGACATACTTCCAACACTGGGGTCCTACAGAGGCGAGAGCATCATTAATATTTAAGAACAAGAAAGAGCACTGGCCCCATGTTCCCTGAGGAACTCTCGCTGTAACTGGGGACCAATCGGACAAGCAACCACGATATTGCACACACTGGGTGCGGCCAGTGACGGAGGAAATCAGCAATCCCAGGAATCAGCCAACCACGTAAATTGGGAAGTTTTGATATCACAACTGAATTGTCTACCCTGTCAAATGCTTTGGAAAAATCGGTAGTAATTAGAGTTGAAACAAAGGTTGGTTTATCAGCATATTTAGCAACCACCTGACCACACAGCAGGATCCGTCACACTCCAG